CACCTTGATAGGGTTCTCCTCCAGACAAGGAGGGGGTCTTCTTGGACTCCCCGCATCTCCAGGCCCAGGAAGTACTTGTAGATGCGGGTCTTGGCGGAAGATGGGAATCGAACCCACGACCTTCCGCTTACCGGGCAGATGCCATGACCACTAGGCCACATGACCACGAGGGAGATATAGAGAGACCATGTGGTCCACCCTCAGTAGAGGAAGACATTGAAGGAGGGAGATATAGAGAGACCATGTGGTCCACCCTCAGTAGAGGAAGACATTGAAGGAGGGAGATATAGAGAGACCATGTGGTCCACCCTCAGTAGAGGAAGACATTGAAGGAGGGAGATATGGAGAGACCATGTGGTCCACCCTCAGTAGAGGAAGGCATTGAAGGGGGGAGATATAGAGAGACCATGTGGCCCACCCTCAGTAGAGGAAGACATTGAAGGAGGGAGATATGGAGAGACCATGTGGTCCACCCTCAGTAGAGGAAGACATTGAAGGAGGGAGATATGGAGAGACCATGTGGTCCACCCTCAGTAGAGGAAGACATTGAAGGAGGGAGATATGGAGAGACCATGTGGTCCACCCTCAGTAGAGGAAGACATTGAAGGAGGGAGATATAGAGAGACCATGTGGTCCACCCTCAGTAGAGGAAGACATTGAAGGAGGGAGATATGGAGAGACCATGTGGTCCACCCTCAGTAGAGGAAGACATTGAAGGAGGGAGATATGGAGAGACCATGTGGTCCACCCTCAGTAGAGGAAGACATTGAAGGAGGGAGATATGGAGAGACCATGTGGTCCACCCTCAGTAGAGGAAGGCATTGAAGGAGGGAGATATGGAGAGACCATGTGGCCCACCCTCAGTAGAGGAAGACATTGAAGGAGGGAGATATGGAGAGACCATGTGGCCCACCCTCAGTAGAGGAAGACATTGAAGGAGGGAGATATGGAGAGACCATGTGGCCCACCCTCAGTAGAGGAAGACATTGAAGGAGGGAGATATAGAGAGACCATGTGGTCCACCCTCAGTAGAGGAAGACATTGAAGGAGGGAGATATGGAGAGACCATGTGGCCCACCCTCAGTAGAGGAAGACATTGAAGGAGGGAGATATAGAGAGACCATGTGGTCCACCCTCAGTAGAGGAAGGCATTGAAGGAGGGAGATATGGAGAGACCATGTGGTCCACCCTCAGTAGAGGAAGACATTGAAGGAGGGAGATATGGAGAGACCATGTGGTCCACCCTCAGTAGAGGAAGGCATTGAAGGAGGGAGATATGGAGAGACCATGTGGTCCACCCTCAGTAGAGGAAGGCATTGAAGGGGGGAGATATAGAGAGACCATGTGGCCCACCCTCAGTAGAGGAAGACATTGAAGGAGGGAGATATAGAGAGACCATGTGGTCCACCCTCAGTAGAGGAAGACATTGAAGGAGGGAGATATGGAGAGACCATGTGGCCCACCCTCAGTAGAGGAAGACATTGAAGGAGGGAGATATGGAGAGACCATGTGACCCACCCTCAGTAGAGGAAGACATTGAAGGAGGGAGATATGGAGAGACCATGTGGCCCACCCTCAGTAGAGGAAGACATTGAAGGAGGGAGATATGGAGAGACCATGTGGCCCACCCTCAGTAGAGGAAGGCCCTGAAAGAAGGAAAAACAAAACTTAAGACCATAACCAAGATTCAACCCTACAGTTTCAGATATAAAAGCAGAATCGTCCAATATATTAGTAGAGCTCGAAAAAGCTGTATGATGAACTGACGAAACCGAGTTTACCATTGATGAGCCAGGCCCTTTCATTTATTTTTCATCGTAGTAAGGACGTTTATTATATGGGAATATTTGTTATAATAGGAAGTTTGATTTCTGAAGAAAAAATAAAAATTCGTGATTGATATAGTTTCATTTCTTATGTAGAGCATAGCAATATGTGTTGCATAGTTTCAACATTAAAAACAAAATAGGCATATCCCGAACGCTCACATAAGCTTTTACAGGATATGCTTATTTTGTTTTTACTATCAACACCTTTTCTCTTTCTATCTAACTAAATTGCATACTAATTCTTGTACATATTTCAAATGATTTTTCTATGTTTAGTTTACCTTTAAAATGCTATTTCTTTAAATAAAAGACACTTCGGCCAGTAAATCTTTTTATTGTCTCGACGTTTCGACAAAAATCTTTTGTCCTCGTCAGGCGCGAACAGAAATTAAAACATTAGGCAAAGCGAGACAATAAAAAGATTTATTGGCCGAAGTGTCTTTTATTTGAAGAAATATGAATGCCGGCCAGGCAGCCTCTATCTTTAAAATGCTAGTGTATCTAGGGGAACAAACGCTCTAAGTCGAAATAAAATAAAATTAAAATCAACACCTGATCTTTTTTCTATTTTGTTAAAAATATTATAAATTATGAACGGAACTCAGGTTAATGTATTGTTGTGAACTAGCTTCACGTCAAGGTGAGCTAGATGTCATAACCTGTCACTTCACTCAAAAGAGGAGGTCAGTGCGTGACTCATCTCTTCCTTATATGGTCATCTTACATCAACACGGATGACATCCTACAGAAGATCAATGTAATAGATATATAAAAGAAAGAAAAGAAATCCTCTTCCGTCAAAATAGACGATACGACAGCTATTTGACCATCTTTGGATACTAGCAGACTAGTATCGATGACAAAACCATAACACCCGCTTTGATAAATTCATAATTAAAGCAAAATGTTTCTTTTACCCATAAATCAAATGTTCTTTTTTTTTTTTTGTTTATCCCTAGTACACGTGGTACAGGCCATGATAATCATGGTGGGTAGTTAGCGACTGCTTTTTACTGTAAGCGCACCACATGTCTACACATGTGAAAAGCATTTCGACTTTGCACTTACAAATGTGCCAGAGCCCCGTTTAGTTACTTGCACTCGCTGGTGGGGTTGGACTTTTTCAAGAATCGGGGCCCATTGGAGCATTTTTTTAAACAGAAAAAGTGCCCAATGCGGGATTCGAACCCGGGTCGTAATGATCGAAAACCAAACGGTTTAACCAGCCTTCCACCGACCCCCCTATGTTCTTTAATGCTTTCATGTATATACGAGATAGCGCAAACGTTCTTTAATGCTTTCATTTAATGTATATACGAGATAGCGCAAACGTTCTTTAATGCTTTCATTTAATGTATATACGAGATAGCGCAAACGTTCTTTAATGCTTTCATTTAATGTATATACGAGATAGCGCAAACGTTCTTTAATGCTTTCATTTAATGTATATACGAGATAGCGCAAACGTTTTTTAATGCTTTCATTTAATGTATATACGAGATAGCGCAAACGTTCTTTAATGCTTTCATTTAATGTATATACGAGATAGCGCAAAAGTTCTTTAATGCTTTCATTTAATGTATATACGAGATAGCGCAAACGTTCTTTAATGCTTTCTTTTCTTATACATAGATAACGCTTTATAGCCTTATATTCATTTATGCCTAACTGACTTTGTCTTTATTGTGAAAAAATAGTACAAATGTGATATTGTTCTGAAATAAAGTACATAAATTCAGAAAGAAAAAAAGGCATTTCCTTATCGTGTAACTGAAAGTTACTGATGGCATTCATTCTGAATTTGTCTTTATTGTGAGCATTGGGCGATGCAAATATTTATATGTAATTTTACTGTCCTAAATGCTTATATCTATAATTTGCTTAAATACCATATCTGAGATGTTTGAATGTTTGATGTTTCTGTTTGAAATTTATATGTTCATTTTGTAATTATTCTTATTTTTAAATTCATAGAAGCATTTTTTGGCAGACATATTAAATTTTTTATCATCATCATTAAAAAATATATTATCGTTTTTTTTTCTTAGTTATTTATCAATTATTTTTTAAATTGTCGTTTCTTTTTTGTTTTGTTGTGTTCCTTTTTAAGCAATAAAATATATGAAGAACTAAGGTGTAATATTCAATTCAAGCATATGGAACCAACATCGATTCATTTTTAAAACAATGCAAAATCATAAGCTTATACAACTTTCACTTTTCCATACACTACCCTTCAGTGCAGCGTATATAAGCAGAATGATTCAATACAGTATTAGAGCTCTAAGAAGCGGTCTGGTGGATTAAATTAGCGAAACCGCTGGGAGGGTTCACCACTGATGAGCCAAGCTTTACCAATATTTTTCATCGTAGTAAGAACATTATAAAGAGTCTGTTTTTATGCGAAAAGAAACATTCGTGCTTTAATTTCCTATATATAGATGGTACGTTATATAAGGTTGTCCCAAAAGTTCGTAAACCTATTTATTTTATATTTATCAAGTGTTTACGAAATTTTGGGACAACCTTGGTAATATAGGTAACCTTGTTAAAATTATAACAAAATTCTTATAGAAGATTGATTTAATCTCTGATGTTCTGAATCAAGGATGGCCAATCAGCAGGTGGCAGTTCGTAAACACTTGCAAAATATATATCATAATATGTTCACGAAATTTTGGGATAGCCTTATAACTTGATATAAATTTAGAATTCCTACCTGGAGATTATGGATTTGGTTCATTGCCTTCGTCAGTCTAGGGTCGATTTTGATTTCATGGGATCCATAAGTGATTTGTGTAACACCAGAATTTACAAAATAGATGTAGCCTTTGCGTTCTGCACTAGAATACTAACCAAAAGGCAAATTTTAAAATTTATTAATAAATGGGAGAGGTGTCCTTTTGGTACAGTAGAACCTCCCTGTAAAGAACACCTAATTGCTGAGCCAAAGTGTCTTTAAGGGAGAGGTGTTCTCTTACTGGAGAGTTACTAAATAATAAAAATGATATTTTTGGTAATGAAAACTGTACTTTGTAAAGAGATGTTCTTTAGCGTGAGTGTCCTCTCATGGAGGTTCTATTGTAAATGCAGGTATCTATGCCTTTTTGTATCTATGGCTTGTGTCTATGGCTGTGCTGTATCTATGGCTTTTCTATCTATGTCTCTGCAATGTTTTAACACGTTGCAAACACCGGTTTTCGTCCGATCATCCAAGTTAAGCAATGTGGGGTCTGGTCAGTGCGTGGGAGGGTGACCTCTTGGAAACACCTGGAGCTTCAGACCATTTAGGCTTTTATTCAACACTAACCGATTTGGCCTATTTAGTAAGATCGGGGATCCACTCTAAATCTAATGATATATATACATAAAGATATTTCTCATTTTCTCACCTTTATTTTATATTTCGCTTTCTATGAATGCAAATATTGTAAACAGGTTCTCTGCTTTAAATGCTTATAACATCAGTTCTCTCTCTCTCTTTCCACTCTGTGGGAAAGAACTCTCGCAGTCCACCGGTGGAAGAGTCTTTCCCGTGATTGGCTCCACCAATGACGACTTGTATATATTTATATATATATGTATTTTTATCAATTGTGTTATATATTTATATCTATTTACTAATATATTTATTATTATATAATCTTATTTACTCATATTTATGTATTTAACCTTATATAATCTTGTATGAGAGTTGCAATAAACAGTTTCAATCTCAATCTTTCTCTCTCTTCAGCTGAGGAATTTTTGAGTAAGATAAAATATCTTAATAAAGACGTAGGTATGACTATTGTAAAGGTAGAGGTTGCCTGGCCGGCATTCATATTTCTTGAAAATGAAGATACTTCGGCCAGTAAATATTTTTATTACCTCGACGTTTCGACAAAAGATTTTGTCCTCGTTAGGAGCAAGTAAAAATTAAAACATTTGGCAAGGCGTTAACATCAAGGTAATAAAAATATTTACTGGCCGAAGTATCTTTATTTTTAAGAAGTATGCATGCCTGTATCATATGTAAAAAACCAGTGTTTTTTATTCTTCTATTTACTTTTATCGTTTTATATATATAAATTTCATACCTATCCTGCCTCTATTAAGGGCTATATCAGCTTCTTTTAGAGAAGAATCAGATCATCAAACTGAAGAAACGTTCTCGATATGATGATAATAATGATCCAATCTAGAAACAAGATTCTGTTTATTGCCAATGCTGTGAAAAATAATTTTATAACCCGTCTAATTGTAGACCAAATTTTACTTATGATAAAAATGGCGTCTTAGTTCATTATGTATACCCTGTTTGGTAGATTTGATATGAAATAAATCATTTAGGTAATCTATATATAATTTTTTTATTATCTATATATAAAAAATTGAATGTCTGTCTGTACTCTATAGATTCAAAAACCATACATCCAATCGCCGTGAAATTTTGGGATATTATTAGGTATATCACCGGGAAGGTTTTTGAAAAATAATTTCATGAATATCTTGAATATCCTTAGAGTTATTTGCAGATTTGTAGATTTAACTCGCAAGCAGCGCCCCAATTGTGACGATGATAACAAGTTTTCTTATCACTAAGTTTGTTATCTTAAATATTATTTATCAAAAGTAAGATTATCTCAGGATGACACGGCAAATATTTGACCGGGAAAAAATGTTCACTAGATAAAACGATGATTTTTAATGTAGAAAATTAGGAAAGACAAAATTCAGGATGACACAGCAATTTATTTGAGACAAGAATAATGATACAATTCCAAGGCAAATATACTATTCCTTTAACTTCCAATTACCGAGGGAACCAATTAATATTGATTTTATTCAACTTATCGAGTATTTTTCAAGGGACCGGGAAAAAATGTTCACTAGATAAAATGATGATTTTGTAATGTAGAAAATTAGGAAAGACAAAATTCAGGATGACACGGCACACAGGGACCGGGAAAAAATGTTCACTTTATCGAGAGATTCAAATTTACGAGTTTCAAATTATCAAAATATATCTTTTTTTTTAAATAAGTTTTACATTTGTACATTGTTACATTTGTTTTAACAAATGTTCGTTAGACAAACCTTTACTCGGGTAAAACCTCGGGCGAAGCCGGGTACATCCGCTAGTTTTAGTATAAATTATTCGGTAAAATTATAAATAAAAGACAATTCACTGAGGGAAGAGTTTATTTATATATATCACGACAATACAAGTTTTCAGGATCAACGGTCTTTCGACAGGTATAACTATGCTACTAAGTATGGAATCTGCCCGGTAAGCGGAACATTGTGGGTTCGTTTCCCATCCCTGGATACTAAGTAGCTACAACGCTGCTATGCAACTCAGTAACGTAGTTATACCTGTCAAAGAACTGTTGAGCCCAAAGGTTGTATTGTCGTTATATATAAAGAATGACACTCTTCCATTAGAGATTTGTCTTTTATTTATAAATTTTTATATTACCATCAAATGTGTGATTGACTTTTACTCTTTTATTCATTCCATTTTCACTCTGCAGTAAATCCATGTATTGACACAAAGCAATAACACGCCATCTATACATATAAAATGAAAGGATTTAAAATACAAGGTCTTCATTGGTGGCGCCCACCGCGGGAAAGACTCCGCCACCGATGGACTGCGAGAGTTCTTTCCCACAAAGTGGACAGGTCTAGGTGTTGGCTGGCATTACCCAACTCAAGACCAAGATGGTACTTGTAGATGGTAGCCTTCGCCATACTTGTAATCTTCATTTCCTCAGGATGGAAGCCGACGCCGAACAGCCAGGCTTGCAGATCCAGGGGCTCTTCGCAGGAGGCGAACATCTCCCGGAGCAGGGGTCGCACGGCTCGGCAACTCCAATATCTGTGGGTCAGCGACCCCTCGCTGGACCCACAGGCGGCACAGTTGGCACGCCTCGAGGCAGAATTTAAAAGCACGAATGTTTCTTTTATACATAATACAAACTTCTACTGTCCTTACTGCGAATGAAAAATGTAATTATACTGTCCTAAAAGCCTATATCCATAGTTTACTTGGACACCATTTCTAAGATTCCACCCTCCAGTGTAGCATAAATAAGCAGAATGATCCAATACAGCATTAGAGCTCTGAGAAGCGGTCTGGTAGATTAAATTGGTGATACCGCTGGGAGGGTTCACCACTGATGAACCAAGCCCTCCCAATATATTTTTCATCGCAGTAAGGACAGTAGAAGTTTTTATTGCGCATAAAAGAAACATTCGTGCTTTTAAATGCTTTCATTTTATAAATGTGTATCCATGTATATGAATATATTACCTAATAAAATATATTGTTTCTATATCATATAATTCATAAATACAGTACTAGAAGAAATTTGTTTTCAAAAGAACAAATGGAATGATAAAATTTTTTATTAATATTTTCAATACCACAAAAAAATAAAAAACGAAAATTGGAGAATAGAACCCACTATCTTATATTTAATATAGTACGTCGATTGCGCTCAATCCAACCACTGCTCTAAAATAGCATTGCACGGTGATTGGCTTGTGTACTCAACACTGATTGTAGACCACCAATCAGCACTAGCGAGTAAACCGAATTTCATATTTTTAACAGAGATTAATTAGATTTAGAATATAGTAGATAATGCATGTACTGGTATTAGGTTTTCCCAAAGGTTTGTGTTTTCCTTAAAACGTTGTTTTTATTATTAATTGATTAATAATATTATTACGACGATTTAATAATGCAATTAATTTATACATTATAAAAGGGTCGGTGGAAGAATGGTCTAAACCGTTGGTTTTCGACCGCTACGACCCGGGATCGAATCCTGCATTGGGTACTTTTTTTTTTCTGATTTGAAATGTCCCAATGGGCCCCGATTCTTGCAAACGTCCAACCCCACCTACGAGTGCAAGTAACAAAACGGGGCTATGGCCCATTTTTAAGTGAAAAGTCGAGCTGTTTTTCACATGTGTAGATATGTGGTGCACTTACAGTAAAAGCAGTCGCCTACTACTACCCAACCATGATTACCATGGCCTGTACCACGTGTACTAGGGATAAGCAAAAAAAAACTTTATACCTAATACAAAGACATTATACATAACGGCCAATAATATTGATATTCAAATTTTCGCAAATGTTTAGGAACTTTTGGAACAATCTTGTAGGAATATTCTTTAAATTACACTAAAAGTTTAGTTAGGTAGAAATTTAATTAAAATATATATAATTAATGCTAATTTTTTTCTATATATATTTGTATTTTTAATTTAAAAAATATATTGGATCAAAATATAATTTACCAATATTTCAGTTGGCTGAACGTATAAAAAAGAAAGAAAAACGCGTGTGTGCGAATATACCTTAATTTGAACATAGTTTTAGTTTAACTAAACTTGTATTTAGTTAAGTTAAACTTATATTAAAGTTTTAGGAGGAAAAGGAAAAAAGAGATAAATTTTTTGAAGATTTTTATATTCTGCACGAAAATTCAGATAAATGAATGTAACTCTTTTTGCCTAGGGGAGAATTGAATCCTACCAGACCGTGAGATATGATGGTGAGCTGTGAATATGTCATAAGCTGTCCTGTACCTATAGCCATCAATAGAGTAAGATGGGCTAGCCTATGGTCGAGCTAAAATTTTAAAAATCCATAAAACTTATTGATAATTATAAATAATTGATATTAATAATAGATTAAATATTATAAATATATATATATATAAACGCAAGGTAATAAAGATCAAATAAATAAATAGTGTGTGACGCTTCGGTAACAGCGTTGTTACCATCTTCAGACAAAGTACTGAAACTATTTATTTATTTGAATTTGGTCTTATTACCTTGTGTTTATAATCTATAATCCAAATTGTGTGCCTTATTGTTAAGGTTCCTTTATCCTTAACGAATTAGAAGCTTGCAACACCCCAATGGTGCCGATAATGAGTCAACCAAAGAGAAAATAAAGCAAGACTAAATTACTACTCACTCTCCCTTTATTTTAAAAAAACTCAATTATATACAAAGATAGTCAGTGGTCAATATATACATAATCACAGAACAATTAAATTAATAAACAAAATAATATATCGTAGAAAACTTAACATTATCATAGAATAAAGATTATCGATTCAGAGAAAACCACATCAACCAATAGTTCAACTCCCGACGTTTCAATGACTTCCTGTCACTCTCTTCAGTGGGATGGTAAGGAAGTAACTGAAATGTCAATAGTAGAAGATTATTTGCTGGTTAGAAGTTGATTCAGAGAAAAACACATCAACCAATAG